AAACATCTGCAAGAAAACAAGCAAGCTCAGAGAGCACTAAGGACCCCTCATATCTACCTATCATATCTATCTAACTATCTTATCTATCGCTCTATCGATCTATCATCTATCTTTCTACACTGATGGTGTTACCTAGTTAGGGTAATTAAACATCTGCAAGAAAACAAGCAAGCTCAGAGAGCACTAAGGACCCCTCATATCTACCTATCATATCTATCTAACTATCTTATCTATCGCTCTATCGATCTATCATCTATCTTTCTACACTGATGGTGTTACCTAGTTAGGGTAATTAAACATCTGCAAGAAAACAAGCAAGCTCAGAGAGCACCAAGGACCCCTCATATCTACCTATCATATCTATCTAACTATCTTATCTATCGCTCTATCGATCTATCATCTATCTATCATCCTCACAACCATTTGTTTAACTACTGTTAGAAGATTTATTTATTTAGTAAACAAATTTATATAACCTCTCAACTCACAGTGAAGTTACAATGGCCTCAGAAAAAGTGATTTATGACCATAGCCGTGATGGCGAACCTATAGCACTCATGCCATAAGTGGCATGCGAAGCTATTTCTTAGGGCACACAAGGCATTGCCCTGTCAGCTCCAGCGCGCATGTGCGTGCTGGCCAGCTGATTTCTGCCTTAATTTTTGGCTGTTTTTCGTCCTCCAGAGGTGTCCCTAAATCTTCCGGAGGGCGAAAAACAACTCAACATGCAAACCGGAAGTTAAGGAATGGGCTTCCGGGTTGCCTGTAGGGCTGTTTTTCTCCCTCCAGAGGCTTCAGGGAAGCGTCCTAAAGAATACAGAGGGAGAAAAATGGTCCAGCGAGCAACCCAGAAGTCTGTTCCTGAAATTCTGGTTTGTGAGTTTGGCCGTTTTCGCCCTTCCCAGGCTCTTAGAAAAGGTCTGGAGCCTGGGGGGAGTGAAAAACAGGTCCACCGTGCCATCGCGTGGCAAAAGCGGGGGGTGGGGGGGTTGTGGGGGCAGGTGCATAGAATTATGGGTGCGGGCGCCTGCACACACAACCCCCCGTGCTCCCCCCACTTTTGCCACGCGGTGGCAAAAAGGTTAGCCCACACTGACCTGTTGTCACAATTACAATCATCATACTACTACTGCAGTCATGTGATTGTGATTGTAATTTGGACACTTAGCACTTGGCTCACATTTACAACCAGTTGCAGAATTCAGCTATCACATGATTGTGATTTGCAACCTTTTTTGCTAATTGCTGGGGAAAAAATACCATTAGGGAGGTTTGATTGGTTTAATAACCTTAACAACTGTAGTGATTTGCTTAACAGCTGCCATAAAAATGGTCATAAAATCATGTCCAACTCAACTTACGACTTCAACAATCTAGGAAGAAAATTCCAATTCCAATTGTGGTTGTAAATCAAGGACCACTGTATTTACCTAGCTAGCTAACTTCATTTATTTATAAAATTCATTTGCATGCTACCTCCTAGCAAAACTATATTTATTTTATATAGTAGATAGTATCTTTTTTTAAAATTCCATTTAGGCAAGGCACTTGAGTTGAATGTCTGTTTAAATTTTCTGAGATCAACCTAAAATGTCTTTTTGGCAGGAGAATAAACTGAAGTTCTCAGCGTACTTGGAAGAACAGTACAAAGTGAAAATTAATGCATCCTCTATGTTTGATGTGCATGTCAAGAGAATTCATGAATACAAGAGGCAGCTCCTCAATTGTCTACATATAATCACTCTCTATAATCGTGAGTTTTTTGCCAGCATCAAAGCTTTTAAATCCTTCTAACAGGGGTGAAATTCAACAGGTTCTGAAAGGTTCTGGAGAACCGGTAGCGGAAATTTTGAGTAGTTCGGAGAACTGGCAAATACCACCTCTGGTTGGCCCCAGGAGTGGATTGGGAATGGAGATTTTGCAATAGTCTTCCCCCAGGAGTGGGGAGGGAATGGGAATTTTGCAGTATCCTTCCCCTGCGATGCCCACCAAGCCATGGCCACAGAACTGGTAGTGAAAAAAATTGAATTTCCCCACTGCCTTTTAGATAACATTAACAATAATATTCCTACATCAGT